ATCATACGATGCTCCCAAGTTCTACTGGAATACGCATACATTTGTTTTTAGTACCTTTTAATTCGTTTGTAGAAACCTTTGAAATTCACAAAGTAGATCTTTGGAGACTTAAAAACTTATACAAAACCATTTTCTGCTTAGAAATAGAAAACTTGTTACTTCAGATGTACATATGAGTGCCTGGTATTGGGAAATGAAAACAACGATTTGACAATAAAAACTAGTCATAGAGAGAGGTCGCGGGATGGACACACATTTTTGGTTATTTAAAAAATTGTGATTAAATGATGAAAACTGCTACCATTCGATGATTGTTATGTATGAACATATCTACATATATATATAAGATTCGAACATTTTTAAACGCTTTTTAAATATATAAAACAATATTTTAAGTATATATTGGATTAAAAAGAAAAGATATGTCTTTTATTAACATTATGTTAAGTGCTAACATTTTAAAAGAAAAAACTTCATAAGTATACCTATACCACCTATGAAGTTTTCAAATACTACTGAATGCAATCAACATACTCAAGTACTCTGGAAAAGCGGAAAAGTGTTTTATGTAGCAGAGCGCTGTCGAATAACATTGCTCAGTTCCTCAAATTTATGATGTTCTCTTTTTTTGTTCCTATCTTTTTATGTACTCTAAAATATATCTTCCATTTACTCATGTACACATGTGAAGAGTATTTCTGCTGGTATATTTGCAGTGCTTTAATATCTATTAATATACCACTATGTGCCAGAAGACAGTACCAATTTCTTAAAACGACGGCGCAATCAAGAAAATTTGTTCCTTCGGCCACACTTAAATTTGTGATCCTCAACAAGATTGCCTGAAAAGCTTGGTGTTGGATTTTAAGATTATAATATCTGATCTTACGATATCTGATAGCGACCCATTGTCTTCGGATATATAGTATGTATGTACATATGTATTAAATGTATGTTGACAGCTCATAATCGGTCCTTTAGTTTTATTGTTGTAGTTGTACTTCGTTAAACACTGGTCATCGTAGACAAATGGTTAGAAGTGCGTAGTTTCAACCGGTAATACCCAGATTCGACCTCTGGTCTGAGCAACACTCAAAAAAAATAAAAATCGAATAGCGGCTGCCCCGTGGCTGACAAAGGCTAACCTCCGATTGTACCTCTACTTTTCTATTGAAAAACTATTTGCTGTTCGAAGACTGTTGTTAAACTGTTGGCCCCTCCATTTGTATGAAAACATAAAGGCGCACAAAACAAACTGGAGGGAAAGCTCGGGCAAAAAATTAACAAAATTCTGAGCGCCAAATATTTATGTACCTATTTTATCAAAAGGGTATATTCATAGTCAAAATAAAATCGACAGTAAAGTTTGTTACAGCTTTTTGACATAATTTTCAATATGTCAAAAGAACTACAACTAACTTTGTAGTCAACTTTATTTCGACTGTGAATTAAAGATGGCAGATCGAAATAAAAGAAATTGTCGAAAAATAAATCGATCTCCTAAGATCGATTCATATAATTTACCAAAAAAGGCCTTTTACTTAATTTTATTAAAGAAAGAAAATACGGGCTCCTGACCAACACTGAAACTACAAACATTATTGTAAATATATTTTTAAACATGCATTGCTATAACGTTTCAATATCTAGATTTATCCCAAAGCTATCAGGTAGCTAACAATCCTTAATACCTAAAAGAAACTGAGCCGGTTTTTCTATATTCATAAATTCTTAGACCTACTTTGGAAAATGGTTAAAATTTTGTATATTGTTTTTTATCACAAAAGAGAAAAAATTTTCTTTCATATCAAAATTAACCGCTAATTTAAAAAATGTATTATACATTAATACACTAGCCCAATAAAACTTATGTATATAGATTTTTTGGCAATATAGATTTTAAATATTTTTTTTTTGGTTTTATGTTCAAAATATAGCAAAAACGATTTTTTTTCGCTAACTGCATATTTCACTCCATAATTACCCTTTTTAAGAATGCAGTTTTGTAGCGCTTTTATTCCATACAAAGTGTGCTCAACAAAATTTTCATATGAATAAAATGCTTAGCACAAAAAAATGCCAAAAATCAACAATATTTTGCAGCCACTTGAAGCTGGCAATTATATTAAAATTTAATAGGGCTTCAAAACTGCATCCCCGAAATTTTTTCGAAAATATTATTAATAGTAACTTATACACTGCCGATCACTTATATGCTTTGAAATGCTTTCATTTTTTCAATATCACTTCGCTCCAATTGGCGCTTTAGCTATTTTTTATTAAATAAATTTTTTGTAACAGGCGCAAGATCAAATTTGATTAAAATTGTCTAGATTTTCTAATGCAATGTTATATGCATCAATTGAGGAAAAAATCAAATGTCGATTCTCGATTTTTTTGGATCGATTCACGGATCGAATCGGAACTAAACAATCGACAAAAAATCGAATTGGAAGGGTTCGATTAATCGATGTTCGATTTAAAAACGGCATCTTTACTGTGAACATGCCACAATATTTTTTTACTCGTGTAAAAATAAACAAAGGTTTACGATTACATTCAACAGCTCGACCTACCCTAACATACAGTTATGCACACGTGTAAAAGCTCTTGAATGCTTTGTGGCCTATTAACACACACCAAATACACNTGGAACTAAACAATCGACAAAAAAATCGAATTGGAAGGGTTCGATTAATCGATGTTCGATTTAATCGATTTAAAAACGGCATCTCTACTGTGAACATGCCACAATATTTTTTTACTCCAGTGTAAAAATAAACAAAGTTTTACGATTACATTCAACAGCTCGACCTACCCTAACATACAGTTATGCACACGTGTAAAAGCTCTTGAATGCTTTGTGGCCTATTAACACACACCAAATACACATGTACATAGTATAAACAAATAAACATATGTACATGTGCAATATTTATACATATCCATATAGTACATATGTATGTGAATGTGTATGTATGTATACGCACTGCTTGGTGTCTTATGGTATTTTGGCTTTTACTTTTGTCTGCTACGAAACTTCTACTCCTATTAACTAATTTANTATGTACATAGTATAAACAAATAAACATATGTACATGTGCAATATTTATACATATCCATATAGTACATATGTATGTGTATGTGTATGTATGTATACGCACTGCTTGGTGTCTTATGGTATTTTGGCTTTTACTTTTGTCTGCTACGAAACTTCTACTCCTATTAACTAATTTACATAACGTACATATCGCGCATTTACTTCAATAGTGTCATAAACCAAAAAATATAAATTTTGAGATGGATTTGCAAAAATTACCGGCTGTCTCTTATTCAATGTTGTGTAAAAATTTCTTATCTTTATAAATTACCAGTATCTCACTAGAAATAAAAAATATATATTAATTTATACTATAGGAGTATATGCAAATTCAAAACTTTAAACCCGTTTTTTTTTCAAGTTTTGCTCTTTTGAGTTATGACACTATTGAAGTAAATGAGCGATATGTTCATATAATTATGTAAATATGCACATATGTATGTATACATTAAAAAGGATTGTTTATTTTTACCTTGCTTTANAAAAAATATATATTAATTTATACTATAGGAGTATATGCAAATTCAAAACTTTAAACCTGTTTTTTTTTCAAGTTTTGCTCTTTTGAGTTATGACACTATTGAAGTAAATGAGCGATATGTTCATATAATTATGTAAATATGTACATATGTATGTATACATTAAAAAGGATTGTTTATTTTTACCTTGCTTTATTAATCCAAGGATAACTAGTAAAACACTAAAATACATTATTTGCTGCATAACTCTTTCGCTTTATGGGGTTCAATTTCCGCAAATAACTATTTATTTATTTTTTTCAAACTTAACAATGGTGTAACCACTAATCACTGCGCCGAAGTAGCAAAGCTTAAACGTGTATGCAGTTGCGCGATTCGATCTTAACTGAATGTACGTATTTGACCACAATACCTCGAAAAGCTGAATATCTTTGAATATAAAGAAAAGTCAAACCACAAAGCGGTAAGTTGGGATACTCGTATCAAGCAAGCTTGGTTGTGAAGTAAAACAACTTGCCCTAACACCAATTAATTCAAGTCCGAAGCAATACAAAAATTATAAGGAAAGCTTTTAGCAAACCAATAGATTCATTTGGACAATACAACTACATATCGCACGTTTAATAATATAGAGAGAAATAATTCAAAATTTACATTTTTGGATATTTGATCATAAAAATATAAAGCTTGATATGGAGAATATCTGTGAACGTTAAAAAAGAACAACTTAAATCTATCTGCCAGAGACAAACGAAATAGCATATGTCGACAAAACATATTTTCACGTCAAAGAGACAAATTTTGTAAGTTATATGTTCACTATTTACAACGTTTTCAAATGTTTCTGTTTTCAGCAACTGAATGTTTTCTTTTAAGTANCATATCGCACGTTTAATAATATAGAGAGAAGTAATTCAAAATTTACGTTTTTGGATATTTGATCATAAAAATATAAAGCTTGATAAGGAGAATATCTGTGAACGTTAAAAAAGAACAACTTAAATCTATCTGCCAGAGACAAACGAAATAGCATATGTCGACAAAACATATTTTCACGTCAAAGAGACAAATTTTGTAAGTTATATGTTCACTATTTACAACGTTTTGAAATGTTTCTGTTTTCAGCAACTGAATGTTTTCTTTTAAGTAAAATGTATTGCTCTGCCGGTAAAAAGAGCTTGCCGGCATATGCTACTATGCTTGTCCGTGAAAGATAGACTTAAGTTGTTTTTTCAAATGTCCACATATATGTTCTGATAGGATAACTTAACTTCTCAATAAATAAATAAAAACCTTTTTAATATACCACGCTTTTATAAACGGACTAAAAATTAGAAAATAATATATCTCAGTCCCATAGAATTTGTTTTGATAACTTTTGATTTTGAAATTTTGGCAAACGTCATTATAAACAATTTATGAGATTGAAAACGAAAAACGTGGAGCGCATGCAATACAAAGCATTAGATTTAATTGACAATAGTCAAACTACATAACATAGACCTAAAATTTCTACAGATAAAGTACCTACAAATTTGAGATCGATTTTAAGCGGTCGTTATTCATATATCCACATATGTAGTATGTACAAACATATATGTCTCTTCATATCAATTCAGGTCTATTACATGCGTCCCATGGTACAGTAATTGGCTTCCCAGGGAGCGCATATTCCGATCTGTCTTATTTGAAAAATATCGTTGTTGCCCACACTTAAAGGTTTACTGTAAGGGCAACGGGATATTTCTGTTCACCATATACCATATATATATTTTTCTAATAACCTTCTTGCAGAGAGCTTATTTAATTTGCAAAAGCCGAAAAATAAACATTTGCTTAGTAAACAAAACAAAATGTTTTATTGCTCAATTTATTTCCCAGAATTTTTCTAATTGTATGTCTTTGATATGCTACATACGACGAGGTTCATATCTAGACTAGGTTTGCCATAAATATCTTTGCTATATTTATAGTAAAAATGGTGGTCTGGACCAGGGTTGTTGCGAATATTCGCATTCGCATTCGCAACCGCGTAGCTTTCGCATTAATTTTAACATTCGCATTCGCAATAGTCTATGCGGAGCTTTTGCTTCTTGTTTGAGAAGCTCTCCTACCATAAAATAAATAATAAATAAATGGGTTCGAAACCTACTTTTTTATTTAAAGTTGTGTTATTATTTTTTTCTCTCTGTTTATTTTAAAGGACTTGTAAATTCAAAGATATGATTAATTCCAAAAATTATTTGAAAAATTCAATGCAATGTAGAATAAAAATGTTGGTACCAAATGCAAATTTCTTAAGGATTTAAAAAAATACAATTTTTTTTGGATTCACAAGGACGAATAGGTAATTTCTTACGCTGATAAAGTTAGAAGGACGAAATTCGAGCATATTATTGAGTTTATATAAGTCCTAACATAATTTTTTCAAAAACAAATATTGCGAAATTTCTAGGGTAAATTTGAAAAGGACATTTTCAATATTTACCAGTCCTTCTGCACCAGAAACTTGAATCTGTTTAAATTCTACAGGATTTCTTCTTTAATTTGATACCCATACTTCTTCTTTAAGCACATTTCTCTGAATTTTTTAAATCATTTTTGAATTACTGGCGTCAGAGTGAAAAACCAAAAACGCAATTTTACTATATTTGGCCCTTGGTTTCGCGAATATATTGATATTTGTGTTTAAAATTAACTATCGTTATATGTTATATGTTATATGTACATGTGCTAGACATTTATANGTGTTTAAAATTAACTATCGTTATATGTTATATGTTATATGTACATGTGCTAGACATTTATAAAAAAAATATTAATTATTAAATAAAAAAAAAGAAATATAGCCAATACTGGTCAAGAAAAGGAGTTTCTATTATTGCCATCAGTGCAAATTACAAATCCCGAAAGCCTGGTATTACTTACCAAGAATCCCGGGATTTTCGAGACCTTAAAAAGTCCGGGATCCCGGATTCCTACGGCTGACTGTTCACTTAACGTGGCACAAACACCTGACTGTGATAGGCGCAAATGACAAGTCCATTTGCCCACCCTACCTTAAAGAGGATGAGACGGTGGAACACTTTTTGTGCTTCTCGCTTGCTTGGTTGTTTGTCATCGATTTCTCGTTCTTTTCTCTATTGTCAGTTTCTGAATTAAGAGTTTGGCGTCAAAAGCTTAGCCATTTTGTTGTTTTCAGTTTTGCGGTTTAAAACTGTGAGTGATAAATATTTTTCGCCTCACTTTAAAACTCGGGAGCGATAAAAATAAAAATGATGCCATCAACACAAATAACTAAAGTCATGAGTGAGCCGAACATTTGATGAGCTTATGGTGAAGGTAATGTAAATAACGCTGGGGATCGAAGTGCTCTTAAAAAATATAACTCCTCAGATGAGAGAGTATTCTTATGGACTTACGAGCTCTATTTTTTAAAACCTGCAAGTGTGTAATCACATTATTTTAATCAATAGAAATAAATAATAATAGACAGAAAATACTTTAGTTTTATTTTGGTCACCCCGAGTTTTGCTTTTGAATTCACCCGCGATGCAAATTTACATACATAGTTAGATATAATTCACATTTCAATTTTGTACGAGCTTTGGGAATATTTAGAAATGTATCAGCAGGGGGTCCTCCGAAACCAGTAAATTTTTGAAAGGGGTTTACGACTATCGATATGTATCAAATCATTGAAATTTATCGATAAACTTGAAAGCTCTTCTCAGATAAAAAAAAAAT